GGGGGAGTGCGACCCTGTTGATACTCCTGGACTTCTCAGCAGCTTTCGACACCATTGACCGTGTCCAGAGGGTGGTGCTGGGGGACAGTTGCTCTGCCCCGCGGCATTTATGCCATGGGCTTCCTCAGGGCTCGATACTGTCCCCCATGCTGTTTAACATCTACATGAAACCGCTGGGAGAGGTCATCAGGAGGTTTGGGCTGAGGAGTCAGCAATATGCTGATGACAGCGCTACCTCTTGTTTTCCACCAATCCAGGTGAGGCGGTTTCTGTGCTGAACTCATCTGGACCTGATAATGGACTGAATGAGGGTTAATAAATTGAAACTCAATCCAGAAAAGACAGAAGTGCTGTTAGTGGGTGCTTCACCGGATAGGCTGGAGGGCCTTTTCCCTGCCCTAAATGGGGTTACACTCCCCCGAAGGGACAGGGTCCGCAGCCTGGGGCTGCTCCTGGACCCCAGTCTAACTCTGGAAACCCAGGTGGATCCGGTGGCCAGGGGCCCCTTCCTTCAGCTGCAGAAATTGTACCAGCTACGGCCCTACCTGGATGAGTGGAGTCTCATGACAGTTACACACGAACTGGTAACATCTTGTATAGGTTATTGCAATGCGCTCTATGTGTGCTGCCTTTAAAGACGGTCCAGCGACTGCAAGTAGTCCAGAATTGAGCTGCGCGGCTGGTGAGTGGTGGGGCTACTAGGGGACATATCAAGCTGATTCTGATTAAATTACTGTAAATTGGTTACCAATTGCTGCCTGGGCCCAATTTAAAGTGCTTGTTTTGACATATAAAGCCCTAAACGGCTTGGGCCCTGGATACCTGAATGACTGTCTCCTTCCATATGAACCTACCTGGCAATTAAGATCTAGCCAGGGGGCCCTTTTGAAAGACTCGTCCCTCAAGGAGGTAAGAGGGATGGCTTGTAGACAAAGGGCCTTTTTGGCAGCTGCTCCCAGACTATGGAATGCCTTCCCAACTGAGATTTGTCTGGCGCAGACGCTGATGACATTTTGGCGCCAGGTCAAAACATTCCTGTTCTAGAAGTCTTAATCGAAATAATATCAACTGTGGGTTCTGATGGCAATTTTATCTATTTTATTTTAATTGTATTTTAATTGTTTTATCTTTTTATTGTATTTTAATTGTTGTAAGCCGCCCAGAGACCTTTGAGTAGTATACGTGGCATACAAGTTAAATAAATAAATAAATAGACAGACAGACAGATAAATAGATTATATTTATATATTCAGCTGAATGCATTTATAAGCACCTCTCTAGAAATTTGTGTGAACACACAAAGTTTTCCCTTACTCCAGGTAGGGAAGGGAGGTAGAGGCAGAAATGTGAGAAACCCTATGCCCACTATGATTACAGCCCTGCAGACTTTCAGGTTTAATGCCTGGACACAGCTAAAGAGATGCTATTTCTGTGCAGTAAGGAGAAGGGGTAAAACGTATTTTTTCACCTTACGTCCTATTTAGCCATTAGCTTTTCTCTTTTCTTTTTGGCAGATTTAGGTTTTTTTTCCCCCCCTGGGGCTTTTCTACCCTAATTTGTTTTGATCATCATTTTGAGACAATACCTAGTTTTTTAAAATATTAGGTTCAGTTTCCCAGTGCTGAGTCTTCAACATGCTCTTTTTTCCTAATTTTTACCCAAAGCCAACATTTTACTGGACAGCTGTCGAGTCTTGCTGTTAAACACCCAATTTAAGAACACAACGGTGGTGGTAGGAATAGCAGAGCTGAACTGACAATATGACCTATCCAA